GAGCTCGCTTATTCAGATTTTCGCAATACTTTTGAAAACCACAGTAATTAGGCGCTCGGTTAACATTATATACAAAATGCACTAGTTTGATTATGCGAGATGTCTGAATTAAAATGATTCTTGTGCCCATGCTCCAAAAAGCCGCAAACACTGCATAAGGCCACATAGATAACTCCCCATCTTGCCTTTTTTTTGATCCAGTATACTCTGAAGTATGGTCCCTCGCCCTTACCGTCCCATTTAATCTCGTCAACATCACCGACACCCACCAACTCTCCGCCGAGTGTATGCCCGCCGGGGATGGGAAAGCCTGGCCGACAACTGGGAATCCAGCGACGTATGAAGCCACACCAGGTTTAATAGCTTGTAGACGGCCAATATACTGATCTCTCATATTTCCATTAAGCTAGGTGGTGGTGCTGTGATCAGCTGGAGCGAGCGAGGTGTAGACATCAATTTGAGCTGTGCCAGATGGGTAGCCTGGATTGCAATGTAGGTAGTTGTTGAGCGCAAAGTTGAACTCGCAAGTCTTGCTTTCGGTGTCGTCGGGGAAGGTGAAGGTGACGAGGGTCGTAATGTCGCTGCTAATACCGTTTTTGTGGATACGGCTTGTGAGGACATCGTAGGTGATTGCACCGGTGGAAGCGGCGCATTGGGAGAGAGTGTCTGGGCGAAGCATAGGGCTTGGAGTTGGGATGGCAGAGACAAGAGTGAGGAGGCTGGCAAGAGAGGCGACAGTGAATTTCATATTGAAGATGCGGTTGAGAGGAGATATGATTGTGTGGTTGGGTAACTCATTTTAGGGTAAAATTGATTAGAGAAGACAAACTATTTGAACCAGTATTTAAAACAGACCCAGAGATGTGAAGGCGAGCAAGCGATTCTAATGTTGATGATGAAGTTCTTTCGCTATCTATTCCCGTTATATAGCTCTTAAAACCCAGCTTCAGAGCCTCTGCTTCGACCATCTTACGATACGGGCTCGCCGCAGCTCTCAAGAATAACTCTAGTGTCTCAATATTAGGCTTTCGTGATACTACAATAAATGCACGGCGTGTAAATTGATGTTACATAGCAACCTTAATGTGGCTATGAGCTTAGGTATCACATATCTTAGACGTACGATCAACATGACCGCCAAGTTGGTGTCGTTCGTATAGGCAGATGGGGCTGAAAGAAAACGTTTCCTGGTACCCAGGGCTGAAATTCTATAATCTGTAAGTGTGTAGAAATGCACCTTTAATTGGCTCAATAATAAATGCCAATGTAACACATTTAGATGCAGTGGAGGCCGTGCTACTTCGACAAATGGTGCGGTGGAGGCGCAGCATCACGTCGGGTATTACCGTCTCGCGACTTCTTAGCGTGACCGATTTAGCTCATATATTGATAAAAGCTACCTGAAATATATCGGTGTAAATAGATCAACCCCGAGTTGTACGGCTAGTATTTAGCGTTCGAAGGGTGGTTACCTATCTCCTGCTTGGGGCTGTTAGAGAGGCACTCATAAACGTGGCGCTTATCTTGTCTTGAGTTTTCAGCCTCTGCTTGGCAGTTACGCCGGTCCGGTCGGTGACCGGAGTAGCTTGAATAATGTTATCGAATTCATCATCGAGCCCGCGGTCTGACTCGGAACCGCCGTCGGAGTCCTCCGTGACTTGTGGTGGCTCGCTCCGCATTATCTTCTCAGGTTGCTTCTTGTCGCTAGGGTCTGACGGTGAAGGGTTGGCAAAAGGCTTGGAAAGGAGAACACGCCTCCGTAATTCTGCCATTTCTTCTTCGTCGTCAGAAGACTCTGGTAATGCATAGGGATCGCGCTCCTCGTCTTCTGTGCCTTCTTCATCCTCATCGCCTTCTTCATTTTGGTTGCCTCGGTCTTTGCCCTTACCACGGCCTTCTTCTGTCTCGCCATCTTCGTCTTCATCTCCGGAACTATCGATGGGCCGTCTATTCATATTGCCGCCTTTCCATGCGTCTTGCTCCGTGCCTGCATCACGGTCTGCCCTGCTTTCGGAATATTCCCGTTCGATTTTCTCAAGCCAAACCTCTTCAGTCTTTTTAATCTCTTCTTCTGAACCGCATGCAGCATAGCGTTTAAGAAGCGCTCCATTAATTTCCAGAAATGCACTTCCATATGAGAACGACGATAACACTTCCTCAGCCCACTGAACATGTCCACATATATAATAACAGGCAGCCAACGCTTCCACGCAGTTCAGTCGCCAGGGTCGACCGTAATTTGTAGGGTTTGCGGCGACAAGGTACGGTACTAGTCAGAGTTAGAATGGTTGTGAGCAATGATAAGTAGTGCAAATATACATAATCTCTCACACTTCCCACCAATCCTTCCGAATGGCACTTCCTCAACCCGGTTCCATGAACATTCAACCACTGCGGCACCGTATTGCTCTAGAAGTCCCTTGTCTGATCCTGACAGAACCTTTTTAGCTTTCGGGCTGTGTATGTATGAGTAACCCTTCGTTGGAGGTTTCGACTCCACTTACGAAACAACTACACCAGCAAACTTTTGCCCAACGTGAAGCTCTCGCATCAAACCTAATCGTATCAACTTCTTGCCTGAGCATCGACGAGCATCGCAGTGACCTAGATCCCAACAGGCGGCCTTGAAAGCAGGTTTGGAGTTGGTAGCACCCTCGCCAGTGTCCTCGCCAGTGCCTTCGCGGGGCGGTCCTCGGGCGCGCGGTGCGTTAGAGTACTTCTTACCACGAGAGGAAAAATTGTCTTTCTTATGCCGAACCATATTTGAGTGATGATTATTGGGTCTTTGGATCGTATACCTTAGACGCAAGTGCTTTTCGTGATATTAACGTATGGGGTTTGGTACCTAGGCTGCTAGGTAAGTAATATAACCCTAAGAAGTTCATTGCCAAGCATGGGGTTATCTAATCGCCACGTGACTCTCCTGACGAGGTCATGAACAAGTGCGATCGACTTGATAACATTTACCTTTGTGACATATTGGCGGAGACCTTGCTGATAATAAACTATAGGTGGACAATATTAAAATGCTAAAACAGATAGCAGATTTAATTCCTAGTATTGTGGGTTTCTGCTAAGGCGGAGGAGAAATTTCTAATTCGTGATAGCCGGAAGCGATCAACGAAAACGTGTGGAGCGGATAATGCATTTTAGAATATATATTATTATTATCTAATCTTTCTTCAACAAACAGGTGCTTAAAAGCGTCTGATCACAGCCATGTTTTCAGGCACTGTGGCTGAGTGGTTAAAGCGATAGACTAGAATCGAATCACCAAATTCAGCTAATCTATTCCCTTCGGGGTCGCAGGTTCGAGTCCTGCCGGTGTCGTTTGTTTTTATTTTTCTTCTTCTGTCAGAAGACTTCGTAACATGATCATTTTTTTTATTACCTAAACAGCCTTTTTTTAGTTCTTTTAATATGATTTCTATTTCTGCAAAGAGTGATGATGCTTGCAATTGTGTACACGCAGATCAACTGGAAACCTGCTTCTTTTTGATCGAATTCTACTGATTAGGTGATCACTTAATCTTGCACATAGATCTTTTGGTGAGTAGAAGAACCTAGATACGCTTAGATGCATTTATCTATCTTTCCTTACGAGAGAGGTTGTAGGGGATGAGTAGATTACGGAAAACAGACAAAGCTAGGACCCGATAATCGATTTTGGTTTCCTAACCGAAGACGGAACGAGTCCGAGTAACTTAGTGCTAGTGTGGAGTCTGCTCTACGAAAAATCATAGTTTAACGTGCCAGATTTGCACATCTTATCTCCTATAAGGCTTGTACGAGGTATGAACTGTGGAAAGTACTCCGTTTACCTAAAACTCACATACATTGATTTACGCGTTTGACGATCTCAGATAAGACTCGCTTACACTACCTGCAGTGTGTTTGCTGCTGAGATGCGGCTGAGACTAAGGATGCAACGATCACCTGCGGGTTACACTATGCCTTTCAGCCTTCCTCACACATCAGGCATGATCCCTATGGCTTTTAGTGCGAAACATTTTGCGGAGATGGGCTAAATGGATATTCCGTTAATTGACGCTGAGATGGCACCAACGAGACGGGGTTCGCAGAGCAGTGTTCGCTCGCTGTTAAAAATTTTAGGTGGATGGAAGCCAGTTCCGAAACCCTTACCGAATCCGAAAGACGGTGATTCAAAATTTGAGTAAGTCTAGTATATAACATAAGGTTCACAAGCCGTGTAGAGAATCATGGCAAGTAACATGACTCAGCATCATCGCCGTGCCCGCTATCGCAGCTCTCCCAGAGACAACATGGCGATTCCCAGATGACCACGATGGTCAGTCTTGGAGAAGCTTGTATCATTCTGTTGCTGGAGCACGGGTTTACTTATATTCCCATCCATCTCAAGACCTACGGTGGCAGTATGGCATCGAATATTATGCCCAGTGCCTGCTACGATATCTGGTAAATTTGCCAGATTTAGGCCATCGGCCATTACACCTTGCGGCTCATAGTACCGGGGGAATTGTTTTAAAGAAGGCTCTTACGGACGCACTGAGTGGAGCGACATCGGACGAGGCATCCGATCGTGTGGTGCGATGCTGTTTCAGCGTTGCCTTTTGGGGCGTTCCCCGTGAGTGAAAAAGCTCTGGCTGCGTTTTAGGTACCCCATTGACTGATCCGGATAGACTACGGGAGTACTGTTCTGTCCGATCCAGTACATAAGGAGAACGTTATGCGCATTCTGGAGCTTCCCCGTCCGATGACCGGACTCCTTCGACAAGAATTCAGCTCTCTTAACCTTGACCAATTGGAAGAGTTTAGTGAAGAGTTTGCAGCTCTGGCAATAGGTTTAAAGAAAATTTGGACCTTTGTGGAGGCCCGAGAGACTTCCTTAACTGTTGTGGCTAGTGGACAAAAGACTAGATTGGAGATGGCTGTAAGTTGGGAATACATATCTGCATCGCCTGCTGACTACAAAGGTTGTTGACCGCCGGTCTGCCACCCTAAGCACATCCAATTTGGAGTTTGGCAGTGAAGAAGTTACAGAAGTTTCTTCTAATCATACTGAGCTTCCACGTTTCGGGAATCGACCCAACGCTTTGACTTTCCTGAATTATTTGGATGATCTCAGATCTCTGGTTGATGGACTATTTAGCCAAGAGCAGAAGGATCTCGCGTTGATAGAGCGGCAGGTGCTTGCTGATGTCCATCTTTTCTATGACTCTGGCACCAAGGGGGAGAAATCAAGCATCAAAGTGTGGTCAGAAACCCCAAGATTGCAAGAACTTTTGGAGAAGGGTCCAGCGGCTTGCTTAAGACGAAGACTGCCAAGCAAGCAAGATCAACGCGAGTCCAAAGAAGTTGAGCAGAAGGAGGATTTAGGAGAGGAAAATAGCGTTCCGGTTCCAACCATTGTGGTCTCCTTTGAAGATGATCACCAAAATGAAGTGGAAACTCAACGGCAGAACAGCAGCGTACCAAGTGGAGAATTTATAGCAGAGCCTAGTGGTCATGGTTCAGCACCAATTCAGGGGAATAACATGCAATTACACGAACTTTATGCTACAGGCGAGAGTCTTTACCACTCTCACAGTCCAATCGATGCAAGTCCAGGCCAGCGGAAAAAGAAACAGGCACAACCGGTCCAGGGAAATGCCACTGCACATTCGGTACATTTTTCTTTGAATACTGAACAGGACGTCTACGATGATTTTCAATCACGTTACGGCGACGGCCCGACGTCAATGGCTGAATTTTTCGCCCCAGAGATACTTCGATCTACTACCATCCACAACCCAGATTCTAAGTATATTACAACAGTGCAGAAAAACGGTCAACCAGCCGAACCGGTTGGTTTTAAAGATGCTGAGAAAGAGCGATTTTCTCATGGCGAACAAGAGATATTCGCACTTCCTCACTTATCTCGCTCTCTATTTAGATGGATTCACCTTCCGGCGAACAATATGCTGTGGATTCCTTCACTCTTTCAAGTAATTGCAAAAGAGCAAAGACAGCCCTCACTTCATAAAGCTTTGTTACACAAACAAGTATGGAATTCTAAAAAAAATGCCGCACGGCACAGAGGCCCTCACGGTCGATTTATGCAGCCTGGTTGTCAGATATTCTTCAAAGAAGTGGTGCAGTCATCTGGGCTTGACACCATAGCAAACATCACTAGCCCTGTCGATGACGTTCAAATCTCCGTCTACGTAAGTACACCTACTATATAACCCTGTTGGGAAATTTTAGGCAGTTGGTACACCAAAACTACTTAGCCGGCTGTCAAGGCCTTTCATAGGCATACCTCTCCCTTCATGACTCCTGGCGAGCACTAGAAAAGGCCTTCCGGGTTATTCAACTATCGTGATTGAGATTTCATGACTATTTGCGAATAACTTTAGGCCCGTTAGTAGATTTTATAAAACTTTGTGGGGTTTTATGTATATCTTTGCGTATCCCAGTCTAAGTTCCCATGCCTCAGCGGACGCAAGCACGCTATGGTAACAACTAGACACACGGCATTCAGTTCACTCCTATTTACCCTTACTTCACCGTGTACTTTTTGTTTCACCCTGAGGTTTAATGTCTGACTAATCCCGTGGGAGTAGTTCCCTTACCTTCACTGGGATACCTTCGATGGCCTAATGACTCGAAGCCGCATCATCGCAAAACGTCTTAGCCAGAAAAGCTCGTATCCAGTTGATCCAAGTATTGGGAATGACTGCATGGAACACAGGCTCCTTTGGTTCTATCTCAGCAATTCTGCAGATCTTCCTTTTCACCACCGGCGATCACTTGATCAGTACGGCTATCCTCATCTAGCCAATACTCGAGCACGTGATGAAGATCAGATCCTATATAAATGCACCAGGCCTATGGGTCCTACCGGTATGACTAGCATAGCAACGGCGAAGCCCTGGAAGAAAAGCCATCTAGCCGACTTAATAGAACGAGAAAGATTACGAGAACACAGCTCTAAATCAAAACAAAAACGCCCCACCGGAGCTCTCGGGGACCTTTGGAGCAACAAGAATGACGGTAAGGTGCTCATTGTTGATCAACTCTGGTGCTGGGTTATTGATCACAGTATGTAAAATTCCTCTTCTACCACTTCTCCCCAGTTCCAGGAAAGGTTGACGTATGAGCTTAGCGTAAACACAACTAAAGCATATGAGTTTGGTTATAGATACTGTGATTACTTGCTTTCCGCCACAGAGTTCCGAGGTCCGAGATGGTAGGTTTGCTCAAGGCGACCTTCGAAATAGTATTCATAATGATGTTAATGGTCAGTCGAACCATTACATAATAATCTTTCCTTTATTAATGGTTACAGGCGACCCAAGGTTTGCAACGCAATGCAGAGACTCTTTGGACTTGGCCGCTCTTACTGTGTTTCACGCTGTTACAGTCTTGCTAGAGAAGTGCACATCGAAGGACTTGCAAGTGTTCGATGTTTTTTCTGAGTACATTAGCCTGCTTGTAAGTTGGCCAGAGCCACCGTGATAATGCCTGAAATACTAAACGCTGTTAGACCGAGCACCAAACGAGATCGTTCAAAGTTTTCAGAGATAGTCAATTGCGGCAAGAAACAGGTGAAGGCCAGGACTCTATTCGTGAAACCCTTAGGGATCTCCACAACCGAGATGACCTTACCGCTCTACTGGAGCTTCGTGACATGGAAGACGAGCTGAAGACTCTCGACAAAGTCTTTTCGGAGCAGGCTACCATTATCGACCAAATGCTTTTGGCCTATAAAAGGATTGATTGGTATAATGAGCAAAAGTTGGTAACACAGGTAGGCTTAGAAGAGTGCACAAGGCAGAGAGATTCAATACTCCATCTTAACAGTATCTCCTGGCTTCATGACGCCGGGATGCGGGTAAAGAAATACCAATCTCAAGCTGAGAACATGCGAAACAGCTGTATTTCGGTGCAAGAATCTGTACGTTTGTGTGCCACGTCTATTCTACGCCTGTGCTAATTAGCTGAAAGTATAAACTCTTACTTGACATGAAGCAAAAACAGGCAAACGTTGCCGAAGCTAGCCTGTCCCGCCTCTCTGCTGAGGTGGCGTCGGAACAGAACCGTGCTATCATGATCTTTACCATCTTTACTATCATATTTGTAAGCTAACTACTTTTCTCCCATCAACAGTGTCTAACAGTAGCCACAAGTTGCCACTCTCATTCTTTACCTCGTTCTTCGGCATGAATGTCAGCGATTGGAGCGGGCAGGCGACGAACCTAAGCCTTCACACTACTATGCTCATTACCGGTCTTATTTCCGCTGCTGTCATTGTTGTCGCTTTGCTATTAGCCTTTAGCAGATCTCTTCGTAATAAAGTGATGATGATA